GGTCAGTGGGAACCGAGGTTCTTTGCCTCGACATAGTTGACCCCACCTCAGAGGGCACCCAGCTTGATGGACTGTGCCTGTCTTAGGTCGTCCTGACCATCAGGATCTTACCTGTCATTGACTATCGGCCCTTGAAGGGTGTGACCTCTGGCGTGACCATGTGAGGGAGGAGAAGGGCAAGAAGTTACACAGCCGCTTCTCGGATGTCAGCAAGCCCAGACCTGCCAGACCTGGTGGGGGGTCGAAGTCTGGATCCTGGAGCGTCTTGAGAACCTGATACACTGAGTAATTTACTTGGTTTTGTCTGCAGAAGCGTAGAACAAAGCATTTTATGAGCAAGAAAAGAATTAAGACTTTGATGCCCAAGAGTAAATAATCTGTAAAGGGGAGCATATCTCCAGGGGTGAGCGGGAGGCAGTGTTCCCATGGAATAGGAAAGCGCAATGTGGTGGGAAGTTTATGGGTGGGAGGGCACTTGGGTCCATGGAGGACACCTGACCCTTGGGGGGGAGGGGTGGTGGCCCCGGGGGCACGAAGGACACTGTAGTCTCAGAAGTGTCTTTTACTAAGGGAGACCAGATTTTGAGGCCCCATAAGGAGCCCTGGCTCCAGTTTTTATGGAAGTCACCTGTTGTGATGTTAAAGAGGGAGTGATGGTGAGAGACATTAGGGGAGGAAGGGTTAAGGACTGGGCTGAAGAAGAGCGATCCTGCAAGGCGATGTGCCATTTATGGGAATGGACACATGAATCAGTTCCATGCTGGGTAGACCAAGGGATTCATTAGTAGTAAAGAGAACTGGGAAAGCAGGTGACTGTTCATCTACAGGGAGGATCAGAGGTGATAAGGGGACCAGTGCCCAGAGATCTGAAGCCTGGGGAGAAGCCCAGCCAAAGGACAAAAGGGTGCCAAGGATGACGAAGCCGGAAAAGGATGTCATGGCTTATCAAACTCGCAGTTGGGCCTGGTCTCCAGATGGGCTTCCGTCACTGGTTGGATGTCTCTCAATGGAATCCAGATGGGGGTCCTAGCATTCTGTGGAAAAATACAAGCATATCCTCGTCCTCTTGTCAGGATGGGGGCTGGTTTCTGCCATAGGGATGAAATAGGATCCCTCCACCTAACTAGTGGCAGAGGCGTAGCCCGAGGCAAGAAGGACCAATGTTTGTATGCTGGACTGAGACACCGCTTGTCAAACATGAGGGAATTAAGGTGGAACAAAGCCTCAGTTAGAGCCAGGTGAGGGTTGCATTTGGCCTCAGCCGAGGGGCTTTTAGCCAGGAGGAACTTAAGTGTCCTGTTGGTCCTTTCAACAATGGCTTGTCCTTGTGGGTTATGGGAATACCAAAGATATGTTTGAGTTCCCAGGAGGAAACCAATTTATTGAATTCTTGAGAGGAATAAGTAGGCCCATTATTAGTCTTAAGCACCCAGGGTATGCCCATGATTAACATGGCAGACTTTATAGCTTTAATGGCATGTATAGTCTTTTCCCCTGAGAGAGCTAAAGCATAAGTAAGGGAGGAGCATGTGTCAACTATAACGTGAATGAATCTCAATTTCCCAAATGGGGGGTAGTGAGTCATTCCATCTGCCAGATGGCATTGGGTGTCAAACCACAGGGATTCACTCCTCCCCTGTTAAGGGGCCTGAGAGGCATAAGCAGGCACAGGTAGTACATGAGCGGACAAGGTGCTTGCATTGGAACATGGGGATTTCTGGGAGGAGTTTATGAATACTCTGAGGGGACAGGTGGAATTGTTGATGTAAAGCTCTTGCTTGTTGTTCTAACAGTCTAGAATGGACTGTCATGATAATGGCATCTGTGGCAGCATTCCCCTGAGTTAGGATTCCAGGAAGGGCGGTATGTGAGCAGATATGTGAGACATACCATGGGTGACTTCTATTTTCTAGGCATTCCTGTAGGTTGACCATAGTGAGGTGGAGTGGCATGGAGGAGTTTTTAACATGAGAAAAGGCGATGACCTTAGCGACCTGAACAGCATAAGTGCTATCAGAAAAGAGATTTAGGGGTTCGTCCTGGCACTCTGCTAAAGCCTTAAGTATAGCAAGAAGTTCTCCCAACTGGACAGAGCCAGGATTAGGGACGATGTGGGTGATGTCCTTTTTTCAAGGGCGATGTATCAGGACCCCAGAGTTGTTCTTATTAGTGTCTGAAAAGGCAATGGTCGCTTGGGGAATTGGGGAAGGAGTGCTGTGGGCTTAACTTCAAGCGGCAATGTGAGAAGGGCCTGAGTTCTTTTATCTTGGGGCAGGTGATTGTCAGTGGTGCCAGGAAAGCCTGACATCATGGTCTGAAAACTTACGAAATTGGCCCAGAGTGCCTGTAGCTTTCGGAGGGGAAAGGGGAGCAAAATAGTGTTGGGTAAAACTTACGAAATTAGCCCAGAGTGCCTGTAGCTTTCGGAGGGGAAAGGGGAGCACAATAGCGTTGGGTTCTCTATTGAAGGTTCTTCTAGCTTGAGTGCGCAGTTTGACTGCCAGGTTAAAGGCCAGATCAGACTTGGAGGAAACCTGTTGGAACTCCGAGTATGAGAGAGTGTATCAGATCCAAATGTCTTGTGCTTAGTGAGGGACTTCCGAAGGCTGTGACACCTTCGGCTGTATGCTCACACGGTGTCTCCGGGACAGGCAACAGGATGACCTGAAGTCTGGGCTCTGAGTTCGGGGTGGATCAGCCCTTATGTGAATTCACCGGGACAAGCCAAGGAGTAAAAAATGTCGACGTGGGCTTCGGGACCATGCAGCGGAGTGTGCCTTCCTGATTTAACAACAAATATGACAAACAGGGTAGAGGGGTCAGAGGAGGGGGCCACTTGCTCACCCTCGAGGAGCCAAAGGGACAGATGAAACCCGGGGCCTACTCATCAAATGAACCGAAGTTGGGGATGTTGCCAACACCAGGGGTCAGGAATCTTGTTCGGGCACCAGCTGTTGCAGGTTTCCTCATGGGTCCAGCCCATGAGGGACTGCAGGGAACAAGGGTTCTGGCCGAGTTGGGGGTGAGTGGTGCGGAATCAACATGCAGACACCGGGAGTCAGGTGAGAGCAGGCACTAGGCGAGGTGCTGCAGACTTGTTTATTGCTGGAAAGGGCAGGCCTTATATATCTCTCCCCCTACCCCCAATGTCCCATAAGCTGGTGTGTTGCTCCCTGATAGATCCCCTCATCCAGGCTGCTCGTGTCATCAGTCTCTAGGTCCAGGGGCAGATTAGGTTGGCTCTTTTGTGGAAGCACAGGCTGCTCTCTCAAGGTGGAAGCTGTGTTCTCTAGTGTGGCCTGTACTTAGGCCTGGTACTTCCTCTCCTACACTCTGCAGTCTCTTGTGGCCTTCTGTGTGCATCTCCCTCTGTTGTGTGAGAAAGCTTCACTGGTGAGAGTTAAGGAATGTGTTAGTGTTCTCTCTACCTCCTGTTCCACTATGTTCCATGAGCCTTAGTTGTGTATGTTCCACTGTAGCTGTGTCACTTAGGTCTGGGCATCTCTCAGACATATATTCTCTGTGTGTGACCAGTTGTAGAGCTCTGTAGTAGCCTCCATCTGTTGCAAAAAGAAGCTTTTTTGATGAGTGGTATACGGTACATTTGCAAATATAAGGATCCATATTTAGCATATGGTAAGAAATTTCGTTTGTCTAGTGATTTGCCAGATAATAGGGTTTTCCCTAGGATCTATGACCTCTTAGGAAGCTGTGTGTATTTGACTGTATTTACAGTGCCACTCATGAGGTCCCTCCCATTGAGGGGACTTTATGCCCAATTAGATAGCTGTTGATTGCCCCGTAGATAAAAGTGCCACTACTGTACCAATAGAGATATTCCAGCCCCCTTCCCCCCCTTTTTTGTGTGTGTTTTTGAGACAGGGTCTCCCTGTAGCCCCAGCTGGCCTGGAACTCACTATGTAGACCAGGCTGGCCTTGAGCTCACAGAGATCCGCCTGGCTCTGCCTCCCAAGTGCTGGGATTAAAGGCGTGCACCACCACGCCTGGTCCAGCCCCTATTTTTAAATTACGTGTATATGTGTATCTGAGTAAGTTTGTGCACTTTACCTTTCTACCTTCCTCCATCTCTTTCTCCTTCCCTTCTGCCTTCTCCTTTCTTTTACTCTTTCCTTCATTTATTTCTTTCATTTAAAGAGTTAATTTTTAAAAGATTGTATTAATTTTTAAAATTATTTTTTATTTTTTATGTGTATGAGTGTTTTGCCTGCATATATGTATCACATGTGTGTAATGCCTATGGAGGCCAGAAGAGGTGTCAGATCCACTGGGCCTGCTGTTATGGACAGTTGTTAGCTGCCATGTAGATGTTGGGAACTGCATCCAGGTCCTCTGCAAGAGCAGCCAGCACTCTTAACCATTGAGCCAGTTCTCTAGTCCCCTTTATTTTTACTTTTAATTAAGTGAATATGTGTATGTCTGTGCCTGTGAGTAGAGTGTCTGACAGGCCAGAAGAGGGCATCAGGTCCCAAGGAGGTGGATTTACAGGTGGTTGTGAGCCACCCAACTTGGGTGTTGGGAATGAACTCAGGTCCTCTGCAAGAGCAGTATGTACTCTGAACTGTTGTGCCATCTCTCTAGCCCCATTCATTTTCTTTCATTTTGAGACAAGGTCTCATTTTGTACCCCAGGCTGACCTCAAACTCATTATCCTCCTGTTTTAGCCTCATAAGTGCTGGGATTACAGGCATATACAACCACACTTAGCTTGGGTAATTTGTAATTACAATAACATTTACAATGTGGAAAATGTAAGAGATGCTTTCAAAGTTCAGTAGATCCCACAGTTAGATTTGGTTTCTATTTCTAATCAGTCATTGTTACTTGCTATTGTCTTCCAGGGGCCCCTTGCTGGCCATAGCAGAGATGTGCTGCCAGAGGATTCGTTCAGCATCTGACAGGCTCATGTATTTGGATGTATTTGGGCGTTTGTGCTCTTTGAAAGCTCTTACTGAAAGCTGGCGGTTTTGTTTTTTTCCTAGGTGGTAGTTGACACAGCACAGATTGAAAATAAAGAAGCCTACGCACCCCAGATCAGTTTAGAAGGCTCCAGAATTGTGGTTCAAGTCCCATCCACATGGTAACCTAACAGCATAAGCTGAAATTTGCATGCCTTTGAAAGAATTGCTTTGCTTTAAATAAACTCTGCTAGCTGATAGCAGTTAGGCAGCAGGAGTATGTTGATATAATTGTCATGATTATTGGTTTGTGATAAGGAATCCAAGACATTTGAAAAATAGCTTAACTGACCATAAAGCAACTGGATATGAAGAACGGGTCATGTGAGCAGTGTTATCTTTCTTACTGAAGCTGCAGCTTTGAGTGTCTTTCTTTCTAAGTCACATTGTTTCCTGAAACTGAGAAGAAACTATAGAATTCCTTCTCTTCCGTCTATTCCAGCCACAACCCTGCTGATCTTGAGTTATCATCATCATTTACCCAGTGTCTTGGCAAATCCGGGGACAAGAAAGCCTTTTTTCATTTCATAGCACTTCAAGTAGATAAAGCATTATTCATAGTTTATGTTTTTTGAGGAAAATAAGCTTCTATAAATCAGTAAGGAAAGCGGGCCAGGGATATGACCAGTTAAGTCAGAAAAAAAGATAGATGATCAACAAATAGATGAAAAACATACATAACCTAACACAGTGATTCTTGCCTAAAATATTAAATTGATTTAGAATAACAAAATATTGGATGATACTGGTTTGAGCTAGGCTACAGAAACGGGCACAGAGGTTGTTAAATGCACAGTAAATTAATTACACAGGCTTTTTTGGAGAATAGTTTAAAGCCAAAATAAGGGGCATGACCTCAGCAGTTCCAAAGTTCTACCTTTAGGGATTTATCCTTGAAATGATTTGTTCTTGAAATGTGCATAAAAATTGGTGTTGTTGGGCTGGGATATAGCTCAGTTGGTAGAGTGCTGGCCCAGAATGCAGGAAGCCATGGGTTGGAGCCTCACCTCTCATGAGACTGAGCTTGGTTGTACACACCTGTAATCCCAGCACTCAGGAGATGAGGACAGGAGGATAAGAAGCCCATGCCATCCTTAGCTACAAGATTATCCCCGAGTACTTCGCCGCTTCAGGCCAACCTGGGACACGTGAGACACCATCTCAAAAAAGTTAGAGAGGGCCTAGAGAAATGGTTTAGCGGTTAAAAGCACTTGCTACTCTTTCAGAGGAACAGATTCAGTTTCCAGCATCCACATGGTAGCTCACAATTGTCTGTTACTCTAGTTCCAGGAAATCCAATGCCCTCTTCTGGCTTCTGTGAGCTACACATATGTACTCATAAATTCATGCAAGCACACACATAAAAATAAATGAATTTCTTTTTTCCTTTTTGAGACAGCATCTCCCTGTAGCCCCAGCTGGCCTGGAACTCACTATGTAGACCAGGCTGGTCTCAAACCCACAGAAATCTGCCTGCCTCTGCCTCCCAAGTACTGGGATCAAAGGCATGCGCCACCACACCTGGCTTATACATGAAAATTTTTTTAATACTTTATTATTTTTATTTTATGTGTATGAGTGTATTGCCTACATGTGTGTTAGAGCACCTGTGTCATGCAATGCCCGCAGAGGACAGAAGAGGCTGTCGGTTCCCCTGGGACTGGAGTTTTGGACAGTTGTTAGCTGTCATGTGGGTGCTGAGATTTGAACCTGAGTCTTCTGCAAGAACAACCAGTGTTCTTAACTGCTGAGCCATCTCTCCAGCCCCATATACATGAAATATTTAAAAAATGATTAGCAGGTTGGCAAGATGGCTTAGCAGGTAAAGGTACTTGATGCCAGCTCTGACAGCTTGAGTTCAATCCCTAGAACCCACATAGGGGAAGAAGAGAACTGACTCCAGCCAAGTCTACTGATCTCCACTTGCCTGCCATGATGTACGCACATGCGTGCACACACACATACACACACACACACACAAAGTAAATACAAAAATATAAAAGAAATAATTTGGACTGGGCCTGGTGGTGCAGGCCTTTAATCTCGGTACATGGGAGGTAAAGGCAGGCGGATCTCTGTGAGTTGGAGGCCAGCCTGGTCTACACAGCAAGTTCCAGGTCAGCCATGGCTGTGTAGTGAGACCCTGTCTCAAAAAAAAAAAAAACAATAAATAAATGAATAAATAAATTAAGAATAAGAATTTGGTTGTTGAGGTGCAATAATTTCCTGAAATTAATGTGTGTATACACAAAATATATATCTTAATTTCTATGAAACAATAAATTAAAAGCTTTTATATAAGATTTTGCAATGAATTCCTAATTTAGTTTTCCAATTCAAATTCTCATTTAAAAATATTTGTTTTGGTTTTTCTTTTTTTTTCTTTTTTTTTGTCTTTTTGAGACAGGATCTCCCTGTAGCCCCAGCTGGCCTGGAACTTACTGTGTAGACCAGGCTGGCCTTGAACCCACAGAGATCCACCTGCCTCTGCCTCCCGGGTGCTGGGACTAAAGACATGTGCCACCACACCTGGCCATGCTTTTTTTTTTTCCTCTGTGACAGGGAGCCACTATGTAGCTGAGGATGACCTTGAATTCCTGATTCTTCTTGCTTTCACTTCCCAAGTGCTAGGATTATACATGTGTGTTACCATGCCTAGCTCATTGAAAAAATTAAACTTTATCAGGATTCTCATTTTGAGGAAAGCAGATGGAACTTTTATATAATTGGGTGAATGTAACAGCTAATAGTAAACTGGTCGTTTTTATCCAACATGTTCACTGCACCTCCATGAAAAAAGGTCTCATAGACTAATTCCTTGCAAAGGTTCCCTCTGCTGTCTGTGTTTGGTAATGATGCAAACTTACAAGGTGGGTTGGGTCTGGTTTTTTGTTTTGTTTTTTTTTTCTTTTTCCTTTTCTTTCTCTTTGAAATTAAAGATTGAGTATCCCTTACCTTGAAATGCTGTGGATCAGAAGAGTTTCATATTCCAGTTGATTTTTGATTTGGTTTTTGTTGTTTAATTGTTTGCATATGGATATAATGAAGTATTTTGGTAATGAAACTGAAATCTAAACCCAAAACTCATTTATGTCTCTTAGATACCTAGGCTAAAGGTAATTTTATGTTGTTGTATTTTGGTCTTTTTGAGACAGGATATCCCTGTAGCCCCAGCTGTCCTGGAACTCACTATGTAGACCAGGTTGGCCTTGAACTCACAGAGATCCACCTGCCTCTGCCTCCTGAGTGCTGGGACTATAGGTGTGCACCAGCAGCTAAAGGTAATTTTATACAATGCTTTTAGTGCTCCTGAGTTTGCACTGTGGCCTCACACTTGAATTCAGGGTTGGGATTTTCCACTTGTATTGTCAGTTGATGTGGAAAGTTGTGAATTTTTGAGTATTTCAGATTTTGAGGGTAGAGTTATATTTTGAATGTTCTTACTGGAAAAAATGAAGTGTGATTGCTTTACTTCATCTTTGGAGAAATAATTATTAGCAAAAATGTCTAGAATTTATTCAGACAGCTGTAGTTGTACACACCTGTAATTCCAGCACTTGGGAAGCTGGCAGGAGGGCTGCTGAGTTTGAAGCCAGCATGGGCTACATAAAGGAGACTCCGTCATACGAGTAATAATTTACTTTGTGATACGTATTTGGTAGCACAACATAAAGCAGAAAATAATCTGTTAAGAGGGACAAGGAGAACTGAGGAGCTAAAGAAGAGGCAAAGTACAATGATATGAATATATGAAATCCCATACCAAAGCATGCAGGCTGGCAAGATGGCTCAGTGAATAGAGCACTTGCTCAGTGAGTAGAGTGTGTGTGACAGCCTGAGTTTGATTCCCTGGACCCATGTAAAAGTGGGCAAGAACCACAAAGTTGTTACCTCTACATGTGTGATTGGCACATGCACCCATACACACAATAGTAATAAAGGTTTGTGTGTGTGTGCGTGTGTGTTTGTGTGTTTAAGAAAAAGAGACTGGAGAGATGGCTCAGCAGTTAAGAGCACTTAATGCTCTTGCAGAGAACCCAGGTTCAGTTTTCAGGGTAGCTAACAACTGTCTAGAATGCCAGTTCCTTGGGGCTCAATCCAGTGACCTCTTCTGGCCCCTGCGGTCATTTAACACATGTCGTACACTTACATACATGCAGGCAAATCACACACATAAAATAAAAATAAATAAAATATAAAGTTAAAAAAAATATGGGACTGGAAAAGTTGCTCAGTTCTCTTGCAGAGAACCCAAGTTCGATTCCCAGCACTCATGACCACCTATAACTACAGAACTCCAGCTCTGGGGATCTGACACTCTCGTGCGTATTATTTTCACACATGAAAATAATAAAATAAGGGGCTGGAGAGATGGCTCGGCGGTTAAGAACACTGTTCTTGCAGACGACCCGGGTTCAAATCCCAGCACCCACATGGCAGCTAACAACTGTTCCCAGTACCTGCTGTTGGGTGGCTCACAAATGCCTCTAATTTCCTCTCCAGGGGATCCAATACCCTCTTCTGGCTTTCACAGACATCTACACTCTTGTGCATACACAATCCTCCCCCCACCCCAGCAAAGAAATGCTTTTTTTAAAAAAGAAAATAATAAAATAAATCTTAAAAAAGAAATAAATTGTTTTGTATGCTAACTAAAAAGTTAAATATATATATAAAATCTTAGCAGTTGAGAATCAGAGGCAGGAGGTTCAGGAATTCAAGGCAGTTCAAGGCCAGCCTGGACTACTTGACACCCTGCCTTAAAACACACACACACACACACACACACACAGAGAGATAAAAAAAACAAGGGCTGGCCAGATAGCTCAGTAGGTGCTTGCTGCAAAACCTGATGATCTGAGTTCAGTCCCTGGATTCACATGGTAGAAGGAGAGAACTAACCCCTACAAGTTGTTTTCTGACTTCCATGTCCATGTGCACATATGCGTACACACACACAAATGAATAATATAAATTTAAAAATTTAGGGCCTGGAGAGATGGCTCAGCAGTTAAGAGCACTGACTGCTTTTGCAGAGGACCTGGGTTTGATTCCCAGCACCCACATGACAGCTATGAACATCCTTAACTCCAGTTCCAGGGGAATCCAAAGCCCTCTTCTG